TCTGTCTCTCTCTCTCTCTCTCTCTCTCTCTCTCTCTCTCTTTCCCTCCATCTGTCTCTCTTTCTCTCCACCTGTCTCTCTCCCCATCTGCCTCTCTCTCTCTCTCTCTCTTGTCATCTCTCTCTGGCTGTTCATCTGTATCTGCCTGTCTGTCTCTCCATCTCTCTCCACCCTTTGTATCCTTCTCTTTCTCTTTCTCTCTCACGTTCTCTCTTTAATTCCATTCCTCTCTCCCTCTCTCCCTCCTCTACCTGTCCCTCGTTCTCTCCAGCTTCTCAATCTCCTCCCCTCCTTTCCAGTAAAAACATACAAGATGCTAACTCCCTCCCTCCCTTTCCCTCTCCTTCCCAGGGAATCCGTGGTGAGGATGGTTCCCCAGGAAGCTCTGGCCCCTCTGGACCCGTAGGACCCCCAGGAAACCCAGGATTCCCCGGATCTCAGGGACAGAAGGTAAGGAGATCAGTCTTGTGCCAGCAGTAACTAAACAATGAGTAAACAATTTGACACGATTGTAGCCAAACAAAATAAGTGTATCCAGATGATTCTGAGAATAAAAATAGGCTAAGGAAATATTTTCCGAACGGTTAAACAACAAGATGTCTATGACTCTAGGCTAGAATTGTCCATCTTCCAAATTTCATCCTCCAGTTTACACCTTCCAATGTCAACGTTCCAGTATCAACCTCAAAATGCCAACATTTCAATGTCAACGTTCCAGTATCAACCTGAATGTCAACCTCATAATGCAAACATTTCAATGTCAATCTCATAACTTCCCAATGGCAACCTTCCAATATCTACCTCCAAATATCAAGTCCATAAAGTCAACCTACTAGGGTCGACCTCCCAACGCCAACCTTCCGATATAATGTCCACTTTCTAATGACCACTCACCATCCTCCTCACCATCCTCCTCCTTGCCCCCTCACAGGGAGATGCCGGTTCTTACGGATCTTCCGGAGATGTCGGACCCCCAGGACCCGCCGGATCTGATGGACTTCCCGGAGCCCCCGGACCTAACGGAATCCCCGGAGAGAGAGGACAAGATGGAAGCTCAGGAGCCAAGGGAAACAGAGTGGGTGCTAGCTTTCTTTTACCGTCTCTGACTGTTTGTCTTTCCACATATGTCCCGCTAGCTTTCTTTTACCTTTTTTTTCTGTTTGTCTGTCCAATCACTCCCCTTCCTTTCTGTCTTTCTTTAGATAACTTGTCTTTTGGTAAACCATAGACCTTCATCACGAAGACATTCTTTCTGTCTTCTCCCAAGAGACATTTTCTATCTTAAATTCAAATTTCTAGTCTATCAACCGCTTTCGTTCTCACAGTATTGCTGTATATTTTTGTTAAAATTCACACTCTCTACCGTTTCTCTTTTCTTTTTTCAATTTTCTTTTTTTAGCTTCATCATCTCCTCTCTCTGCTGCTTCTTTTTTAAAGCTGGTATCTAATATTCAAGATTAACTACTAAGTTGGAAAAAAGAATTCACTTTCTTTTTCATTTCTCGTTATGTCGTCTTTCTCTGCCCTGGGTAACCATCGATACGCCAAAGTACGAACATACAATCAAACTGTTTCCTCTCTCACAGGGACCCGCCGGATCCACTGGCCAGCCCGGATTCCCCGGACCCCAAGGACCCCCAGGAAACTCCGGAGAGCCAGGAACCCCTGGAAACAAGGGAGACAATGTAAGTGTCATGTCTCTCCATCTCTCTCCACCCTTTATCTCTCTCTCTCTCTCTCTCTCTCTCTCTCACACACACACACACACACACACACACTCACACACTTTCTCTTTCTTTCTCCATTTCCATTATTCTCTCCCTCTCTCCCTCCTTTTTCTCTCTCCCTCCTTCTCTCCATCCTCTGAAATCCCTCTCCTCCTCTCCATCTGTCATCAAGGAATTCATTATCTAGCTTTGTGTCTGTCCATACGATGAGTCAGTCACTTGTTCGTTCATTAAACTGAACAAGATCCTATATCTAGTGTCCCTGTTGTTACTCTTTCGAAGCGCTAAATGGCTGTCATTGTGTCGACGTGTAGCCCTTTCCTTCTGTTCCTTCTGTCAGTCCGTCTGTATCACCTTTTCCCAGCACTAAATGATGGTTATTGTTTCGTTGCGCTTCTCTTAACTCTTCTGTTCCTGTCTGCCAGTCTTACTCTTTTCCAGCTCAAAATGACTGTTATTGTGTCGATGTACTCATCTTCCCATCTATCTTCCACTCTTTCAGCACTAAATGACCGTTATTATGTGATGATGTGCTTCATTACCCAAACATCTCTCTCACTTTCATCCCCCCCCCTCTCTCTCTCTCTCT